CACATAACTGGTGCGTAAGTCACTTGTCTGACTAAGTGCATTTATGTACCGATGGACTTGTGAAACATTTCCAGAAGGCGCTTCGATCACTGGACGACAGCCGGTCGCCGGTCACACAGACGGGGCTGCTGTTAACGTCGGTGTGTACAACGGAATTGTGCCACAACTTCCGGCGCGAGTTCCACGCGCGTGCTCCACTAGCGCCCACCCACACCCCTCCCGTCGACATTCAATACCACACCCCCACCCCCAACCCCCCCGTCCTGTCGACGTTCACGAAACAGAGGGGCTGAACACACAACTTTGCGTGGGCAGCCCTGAGTACCAAACATTGTCTCCTGGTACTCATTTGAGTAACTCACTGAGAAAGTTATGTGCACCCCTGAATATATCAACTAAATGACTTTATTAAAGTATTCAGTAAAAAGGTGCAGAAGCGCTCAGCCGGTAAATAAAATAAGGTATGCTTGATTTATAACACAAGACTAAATGAAAGTCTAAATAAAAAATGGACTGCTTCACAATATTTAAAATAACTGTTTTATCTCGATTATCTAATTTTCATAATCGGTGAAGCATAAATCCCTGTTTTAAAAATAATAAAATGTGCTTAATAACCCAGCCCTGCTCTATCCCTCATGTATGTACACGAAATATACATACAACACCATTATTTTAGTGTTTTGCTCATACAAATACACACAAATGATATGTCCCACAAGTGTTTCGTTCATTTAAGTTGCTCCTAGTTTTGCAATAAATAAACAAACTCTTCAGCCACCTCATCTATCACGGGAAATACCGTCACTCCCTCTTTCTCTTCCTTCTCTCATTAATCTTCCTCCTCTGTCTTCCTGCTCACTCAGTTGCCAGGGGGAGAGAAGAGCAAAGAGAAAATGCGTAGCTCTGTTATTAAATCCTAAGGACTGGGGGAGGAGGGTGGGTGTGTGCGCGCCTATTAGAGAGGTTGGATACCGGTCTCTCTCCAATCGACAGCGGATGAAGAGCAACGCTGAGAGGAAAACACTTGTGAGACCTGTACAAGGCTCTGATTGGTTGAGAGATGATACTAAGCGGTTGTTTGGGGTCTTTAAAGGTCACATATTGTGAAAAATCCACTTTTTCATGTCTCTTCTACATCAGCATGTGTCCCCTCTGTGGAAAGAGACTCTGAAAGTTTTAGGAAAAAAGATTCTCTCTCTTTTTGTCCTGATCCATTTCTATAAAAACCTGTCTGAAAATGAGCTGATCACCTGAATCTCCTCTAGAGCACCATTGTGTTCTTTGTAACCAAATGTCTCTCAGAGGGGCGTGGGGAGGGGCTCCTTATTTTCATCTAAAGTAACAGACAGAGAATCAGCACTTTGGAAACAGGGCTGAAACAGAGGGGATTATGGGATGCTGCAATGATCTGTTTGGTGTTTCAGCCAATCAGAGACAGGCTCTGTATATATCTGAGACCTGTAATATATTGATGAAAAACAGTATAATATGACCTTTAACTCTTTTCTAGGGTATTCTGATGCTTATTTTGAAAAGGGAATTTGGGGTTAAGTATCTCGCCCCAGGATCGAACCAACAATCTCCTAATTGCAAAACGACAGCACTACTTCACACAGTTACACAATATTGACATTACAATTATCTGGAATCACTCGATCTCCTCAATTCCAGAATCAAAATAGTCGTCAATCATCAAAATAGTTGCCAACAAATCGATGTATTTATTAACGTTGATTGGCCAAAATGTTTTAGTTATTGGCCCGTGAGTCACCATCATTATCTCCTCTGCTATGCATCAGATTATGAACTTTGTGTAACATTACCCCACTAATTAGCAGCCATTCGGACGGATTGATTGGGCTTTTTTTGTTTGTTGTATTACTTAAAAAATTACGCAATTAATACAGATTCTTTCTGGTTTTATCGGAGAGATGGCCAGTTTGATGTCTTCACAGAGACCGTTATTCTCTTCTTGAATAACTTCCTTGACAATCTCCCGGATGGCCGGTAGCAGGCTAGCGTCCACACTGCTCTTGCTACTAGCTTTAGCCTCTGAGTCGCTAGCCGGCATGGTGTTTTGCGGTTCGATGGGCATCTTGGTTCCTAAGGTTCCAAAAAAACGTTGTTGACTCTCCAAATACTAAAATATAACGAACACTCAATCACGTTTTTAGCAAATTGCAGCTTAACCCTTATGTTGTGTTTGGGTCTCCCGTGACCCGTTTCAAGTTAAAATTATATAATAACTACGCTCTAGTTTTCTGTATCGGAACAAGGCTTCATGATATCCTCCACGGCAGCTATATAAACACTACGAAACTGATTTTGACAATTTTAGCCAAGTCTGCAGGTCTCTAAAAAGAAAAAGTGTATCATTTGGTGTTGGGGTCTGGGGAGACCCAGCAGAATTGTTGTGGGTGACTCGGGGTCATATTTGGCCCAATCAAGATTCATCTTTGACTTTAGACACCCCTCCCCCTCCCCCTTCACCCACTGTAACAATCATTTTTCGCAACATGCACCTGGTCTCCCCTCCCTCTGCCCCCCTCCCCCCACGGGAACTCCACCTTTCTCAAAGAATATGTACACTAACACTTGAACCTGAATATATATGTGGTGTAATGTGTTTTGGGCCATAACATTAAATTGCAACAGCATTGTACGGTTATGAGTGCATTATAAGTTAGTTATGATGTAGTTAAAACAATATTGGATGATAGTCATTTTTTTGTGTGTTTTGGACTGAGATAAGTCATGGGTCAAAATTGCCCCGCGAACACCATGAACGGTAACAGCTTTCGAACACAACACAAGGGTTAATTATGTATAAAACATATCTACTCCCCCTAGTGTCCCTCAGACTCTTCCTGGTTTCAAACTGAGAATTTGTCTTTTACCTTCAAGCAAAAAGCTTCAAACTGTACCTCATCAATATCATCGTATGCTGTCATCTCATTGAAACATATAGAAATACACATTTATTATTGCCAGCATCATTTTTTCATGAATAGGATTTTCAAAAGTAAACCTGGTTTCATTTGAGTTGTTTTTTTATATTGGTGTGATGTGTTGAACATTACCTACAGTATAGCTGTATCTGTTCTCTAATTTGAACCCCTTTTTATGTATTAATTGATTATGTAAACACAGCTCTCTATCATTGAAACCCTCCTGATAATCCACACATAGATACCATAAAGTAAAAGGAATGCACATATTACAGAGACGTACATCTGGTTTCATGTCAGTTTTTTTCAGATATTATTGTAATGCTTTGAAAATTAGCCTATAGCTGTATCTGTTCTCTAATGTAAGCTCCTTTCCACATGGCGAACCGTGTCTATCATAACTGGACCTTCTGTAGACACACACCTGCATGAATTGCTTCGTCGCATTCATCTAGATCAGTGCTTCTCAAACTTTTTAATACCAAGGACCACTTAACCAATAAAAAAACACTCGCGGACCACCTAACTCCACAAATATCGAAAATCACATTTTCTAGAACAGATTACAAATCGCCTGAAAATGGTACAAACAAGTGTGTTGAAGGTGTTGTGCTGGGCTATATCATGCAATTGAAAGTGAAACTTAAGCTCGCTCCATTGTGGAGATATTTCTGCAAAACTCAAATGTATTTATTTATTTAAAATGTGAAATTGTACCAATATACTCACGGACCACTAGGGGGTGCTCACGGACCACCAGTGGTCCGCGGACCACACTTTGAGAAGCACTGATCTAGATCCTCTGTCTCGAGCCAGTTAACTAGCGGGCCTTCTAGAATACCCTGGAACCGAGGGGAACTCTGAAAGAATACGCCCATTGGCTACAAATCAATATATGATTGGTTGATCCAACTGTCAGTCCAAACGTACGCTCTCATTCAGTGCAACGGCCAGGGCATTCGATCAAGGATGTAGAATACCTTGGTTGAAGGATATTCTACCCAGAGACCCAGAACAAGATCTGATTGGTTGCTTTCTTTTCTAACACAAAACCACTGAAATGCGTAGTGCATGGTCCGACAAGGACAAACAAATCAACGTAACACTGTAATATCACAGATCAACAACACAGATACGATTCTCATTTATATTTTATTACATTTTATTTATATAATTAAATCGATTTTTTGTTTGTTTTATCTGAGTGTTCCAGGGTATTCTCTGAATACCTTGAAGGCCCTGACGGTTCGCCACTGCCATATAGAATAAATGTTCTTTTCCTGCCTATAAAAAGGTTTTCTGTCGAGTCTCCGAGCTTCACCGGGAGCAGAAAGTGCTTTAGATGAGATCTGGCCTCTTCTCAAAGCTGCCATGGTAACCAGAAAGCTGAACATACAATGCAGCGATGGCCTTCTCCGCTAAGAGATCTATTAACGCCGACTTTGTGCGTCTGTCTCACTCCTGAGCTCTCCTTTTAACCCCTTGTTTCCTCTCTTACTCTGCCTGCAACACCCACTCACTCACTTCCTCCTACCATCCCTCAGCTTTTTATTCATGAATTAAACACACTCACAGATATTCACACACAAGCAGCAAACATGTGTTCATGCGCGTGGTCTTTTTGTTTCTCACTGTACAGTAAATCAATCAGGAAGATGGATGCCTGAAGCAAACAGGACATGATGCATACGGAAATATTTTAGGGAAACACTCCAACATAAGCCTCAGTGCTTCTGAATATCAACGTTTATCAGGAGCATCTTATAAAAACCTCAGATTTAATAAGTCGGAAATAGAAGCAATAACCTGCTGATTGAAAAAGACAAAGTGTGCAAGTTTTGTTTATTATGTTGACACTAGATTTGAATGCATAGACAGAGGACCGGACAAAATAATAGACTTGTCTTGGAAAAAAAGCCCTGCAGATTAATGACTCGGTGAAGTTCTTGTGTTTTTTTTGTTGTTAGGACTGGTTAAAAAAAACTTGTTGATTAAAGTTAAGTGGCTACCTCCATGTCTGAAAAGTTTATGTTCCTGTTTCTCCCTCAGAGTCCATCGGATCACTGTGCCTTTGTGAGCGTGGTGAGCGGCAGCCTGTGTGTGTTCCTGTGTGTGTTCGTGCTGGTGTGTACGGAGATGCTGTCGCAGCGATGGAGGCATCTGCTGGTCTCATCGTCTGGGCCACGCAACTCACCATGGGCTACACCTTCATCTTCAGCGGGCCCATCATCCTGCCCTGGGACCAGGTAACCTGTTAGAAAAATATCACTCGTCAACGGCTTGAGCTTCAATAATCAGGATCCATGTATTTATGATCCTCTCAATAATGGAAGTAGTCGTCACATACAGAGCATCAACTAGTTCCTGAACAGTGTCCTTCACATGCTGATATACAAGAGAGAGAGTTACACAGTCACAAGATGGAGGAATACCGGTTCTTGTGGGTAATCATATATCCTGTCATGTACAAAATACTTAGTTTTTTCTCAAAATGTTTGCTTTTTCTCAAAATCTCAAAATCCGGACTTTCTCTCAAAATTCGGACTTTCTCTCAAAATTCGGACTTTTTCTCAAAATCTCAAAATCCGGACTTTTTTTCTCAAAATCTCAAAATCCGGACTTTTTCTGAATACTTAACATTTTTAATAATCACTGGTCACCGGCTTGAGCTTCAATCTCAGGATCCATGTATTTGTTATCCTCTCAAGAATGGAAGTAGTCATCACATACAGAGCATCAACTAGTTCCTGACCAGTGTCCTTCAAATGCTGATATACAAGAGAGGGAGTTACACAGTCACAAGATGGAGGAATAGAAAGCAGTATTCAATGTTTACTTCAGATTAGCTCCACGTCAGAAATGATCTTGCTTGGAGTCACTTTCATTATAAGATCCTCCTACGCAAACTGGAAATCTATCACGACAGATGCAACAAATCCACACACGTGAAGAAGCTGCACGTCCATTTACGTTTCTTTATTTTAGTTTGGTTAGGCAGGTAAATGTTTACTATTTACCATCTTACGTTTTTGCATAGGGATGGGACGATACAGGATTTGATAATGGATTTAGATTAAAACACTGACAATAAATCCATCATGGCGTCTTTTTATTATCAGGATAATTGTTAATTTCATCACAAATGACTTGAAAAGCTAAAAGTAAAGCCTGGTTTAAAAAGCACAGGAATTTGGCCTATTATGTCAAAAAGTATTCATGTTTTAATGCATTCTTTATTTATGCATTTATAGTGAATCACAATCTTTCTGGCCATAATAAAAACAAAATGTTTGATATGCCTTATTACGATTTCAGATAATTCATTAATTTAATCATCTTCTAGTGTGTAAATATATGCTTTGGCACTTTATTATCTGATCATTTTGTTGGTCTAGTAGTGTTATGGTGCTTTTCCACTGCAGCGCGTAGCACGGTTTAAGCCGTTTTTTATTGCGTTTCCACTTAGCGTAGTACCGGCTAACGGGTACTTTTTCACAGTTTTTCTGGCCCTCCAAAATCGAGGTTCTTTCCGGGCCAAGAACCGGGCTGAGTATGCTAAACTAGTGAGAGAATCTCTGGCAAGGGGGCTACAACTACAACAAAATGAACATATTTGACCGTGATTTAATTGTAATACACGTTTCAAAATGATGCCGAAGTAACAACATACTGATACCGGTTAGTAAAAACCATGAATTAATGCTTTGACAAGTCTTCAGACAGACGGCAGGCGAAAAACCTTTTAAAATGCGTGTTTTCTGAATGGAGATCGGCTAAGCTAACGCAGTATATGCTCCGACCGTCCACACTCACAACAACGGCCTACAGACATAAATAAAGCAGCAACTGTATTCGCCATGACACAGCCAGTCTGTGGTTTGTACTTGTTTAACTTTTGTCTAGTTTCTGAACAGATATGAGGAGCTGTGAGCTCTGAGCGCTAACAGCTAACGGCTGGTGTTTTGGTTTTGTGGTTCGCATTGAAGATGAAGTCACGGCTCCGCCTACACTGCGTTACTATAGTTACTGCCCCAGTTCCTAAACCGTAATGGAAACGCAGCATAAAGTGAGCCTGGCCTACCAAGGCCTAACTATACCGTACTAAGCCATGCAAGGCCCTGCAGTGGAAATGCGCCATTATATATATATATATATATAGTGGGACTACAAACAACTTTTTCTAAAATTATTTTCCAAGTTTCATGACATGTGGGACCTTTTCTAGAGTCCAATGACTCAAAAATGATTCAAGATTCAATTGTATTGTCATTTTTACATAGCTACAGTGTAGTTATGACAATGAAATGCTTAGGTCACAGGCTCCTCCAACAGTGCAACACAATAACACAGATAAGATAGTGCAAGTAGATACAAATAAAATATAATATAATAGGAATAGTGCAAGAAGAGTCTTTATACAAGTAATTGGAATATTGAGATATATATATATATAAGTTGCAAACAGATGAATGTTATGGATGTTGTTGAATGAATAAATGAATAAACATGATTAGATAATTGACCCTTTGTGTCTCCAGGTGCCTTTCTT